TTTGAAAAAAAGAGGGATGATGGGATAATTGATTTGTAATTGTGAGTTACTGTTTTTAGACAAATATATTGGTATAGATTCTTGTATATTGATACAAAGTTAAATTATATTGACTATTGTATGCATGCATGTTTCTACCTCTGTTTAAAACATTTTTATGTATTGACATATATTGTATATATATAAATATATAGTATATATTTACCATATTGCAGTGTACATTTCTACCTCTGATTAAGATACTTATATAATGTTTGTGTATTGATATATATTTACCTACTGCAATGTATATTTGTACATTGTTTATATTTGGAGGTCATTGTCCTCATTTGTTTCACAGTCGTTTATTGTCTTAGTCTTTAAGTTAGATAGATATTGAGAATTATATAGACTAATAGTCATCTAAGTTTGTCATTTATAATAGACTAATCAGGTTCTTTAGATATATAGAGATTATACTCAGTATAGATAGATAATCTTCAACTTCTTCAAAGAGCTGTAGAAAATGGCCTTTAATCTAACTCAGAGTTTTGTGGTAGTGAGACACAATTGCTCCTGGCAACACCACTCTATTCCCGAGAGAATGTTGAGCACCAAAGACACTCCACCTGGAGCCTTCTTTTTGGCAGAACTGGCCTTGGGGCAAAGAAATGCCCATACCTCAACCACTGACAAAGATACAGAGCATGCATCAATGGATAAAACAGGGCTGTCATATCCTGCCAAGACAGGGTAAGATAGTTTTGAAAAGTTGCTTGCCTTTGAAAATGGTATGTCAGTTATGTTAGGCCTTAGCCAAAGTTGGTTGCTTCAATGCTGCAAACGTGACTTTGGGTGATTGCCCAGGTAGCCAGTTGTCTCTGTGATTTGTTGCATGTTTTGGAAGTTGTTTTACTGAACTTCCTAATTACCCAGGTAACATTATTTCCCTTCTCAGATCTTTGATGGGGTTGAAGACTATATAAATCTAGTTACTTTCTCTCATGACTTGGCCAAGTTATTTATTATACAAGACCTAAGCTAGTTAGAATAGGATATTTGTACTTATTGTATATAATTTCATAGTAGGTTTAGAACTCTCTTATTTAAACAAAAGAGGGAGGTGTTGCGGGAGGTCTTCCCACTCCTCCAGTCTATCACCGCTGAGATACCAGCCCATTGGGGCGTCGTCTCTCTCCCTTTAAAAAAGCAGCCACTTCCCTCTTCTCTCTCTCTTCACTTCCTGCTCTGCTGGCGACTACACTCCTTTCCTGGTTGCGCAGAGGGCTGTAGCCTGGGACAGTGATCTGCAATTTTTTTCCCTTTTAAATAAATACCACCCTATTAATCATAATCCCAAATTGGTGTGGCACTGTTTGTGACTTACGCCTTCAGAGGATTACTTTTTTCCTGATTTCTTTCTCAGCCTTTTATCATTTGTGTGTGAGAGGGTCGGTGATTTTTTTTTTTTTTGAGCTAAGCTTGTACCCAGTCACTTCACTCAAGGTGTTTATCAGCTGTAGCAGTTCCCTTTTTGGGATCACTTTTGTATACTATCATATGCAAATAGTGATACTTTGACTTCTTTTACAATTTGTAACCCTTTGATCTTCTTTTGTTGTCTGATTGCTCTAGCTAGAAATTCAAGTACTATATTGAATAAATATGAAGAGAGTAGACAGCCTTGTCATTCTTGATTTCAGTGGGATCACTTTGAGTTTCTCTCCATTTAGTTTGATGTTAGTTGTTGGGTTGCTGTATATTGTTTTTATTATATTTAGGTATTTTCTTTGTATCTCTGATCTCTCTAAGATTTTTATCATGAAGGGTTTTTGGGTTATATCAAAGGATTTTTCAGCATCTCATGAGATGATCATGTGGTTTTTTTTTCTTTTAGTTTGTTTATAAGTGGATTACATTGCCAGATTTTCATGTGTTCAACCATCCCTGCATCTCTGGAGTGAAGCCCACTTGATGATGGTGGGTGATCTTTTTGATGTGCTCTTGGATGCAGTTTGCCAGTTAATTTGTTGAGAATTTCTGCATCTGTGTTCAGGAGGGAAATTGGTCTGTAATTTTCCTTCTTTGTTGAGTCTTTGTGTGGTTGGGTATTAGGGCGACTATGGCCTCATAGATTTTGGCAATGTTCCTTATGTTTCTATGTTGTGGAATAATTTGAGGTGTACTAGTTTTTAGCTCTTCTTTGAAAGTCTGGTAGAATTCTGTGTAGACAAAGGTTTCTATACTATCTGGTCCTGTAGCTGTTCAGTTCCAAATAAACACACAGAGGCTTATATTAATTATAAAATGATTGGTCTATTAGCTTAGGATTTCTTTCGTTTTTTTTTTTTTTTTTTTTTAGTTTTTAGTTTTTCGAGACAGGGTTTCTCTGTAGCTTTGGAGCCTGTCCTGGCACTAGCTCTTGTAGACCAGGCTGCCCTCGAACTCACAGAGATCCGCCTGCCTCTGCCTCCCGAGTGCTGGGATTAAAGGCGTGCGCCACCACCGCCTGGCTAGCTTAGGATTTCTTATTAACTAACTTTTACATCTTATATTAACCCATAATTCTTGTCTGTGTCAGCCACATGGCTTGGTACCGTTTACCAGTGAGGCATTCTCATCTTGCTTCCTCTGCGACTAGGTGATGGCTACAGACTGAGCTTTTCCTCATCCAAGATTTCCCCTATTCTGGTTACCCTGCCTATACTTCCTGCCTGGCTACTGGCCAATCAGTCTTTTATTAAACCCAAACAAGTGACAAATCTTTACAGGGTACAAGACCATTGTCCCACAGCAATTCTGTCCTGAAACCATCTGGTCCTGGGGTTGTCTTGGTTGGGAGACTTTTAATGACTGCTTCTATTTTCTTAGAGGTTATAGGTCTATTTAAATTGTTTATCTGATCTTGGTTTAATTTTGGTATGTAGATTTATCAAGAAATTTGTTCATCTCTTTTAGATTTTCCAATTTTTTGGAGTATGCCCTAATGATTGTCTGGACTTCCTCAGTGTCTGCTGTTATGTCCCCTTTTCATTTCTGTTTTGTTAATTTGGATATTCTGTCCCTGACTTTTATTTAGTTTGGATAAGGGTTTGTCTATCTTGTTTATTTTCTCAAAGAACCAACTCTTTGTTTCATTGGTTCTTTGTATTGTTCTCTTTTTTTTCTATTTTATTGATTTTAGCCCTCAGTTTATTTCCTGTTGTCTACTCCTCTTGGGTGAGTTTGCTTCTTTTTGTTCTAGAGCTTTCAGGTGTGATTTTAAATTGCTAGTATGAAATTTCTTTAAATTCTTTATTAGGCACTTGGTGCTATCAACTTTTCTCTTAACACTGCTTTTATTGTATCCCATAAGTATGGGAATGTTCTGCATTGGCTTTTACTGAATTCTAGGAAATCATTAATTTTTTCTTCCTTGACCCTATGGTAATTCAGTTGAGTGTTGTTCGGTTTCCATAAGTTTGTAGGCTTTCTGAAGTTTGTGCTATTGTTGAACTAAGACTTTAAGCCATGGTGAGCCAATAAGATACGGTGGTTATTCCAATTTTTTTGTATCTTTTAAGATTTGCTTTGTGGTTAAGTATGTGGTCAATTTTGGAGAATGTTCCATGAGGTTCTGAGAAGAAGGTGTATGCTTCATCTCTTTTGATAATTTTGGTTTGAAGTCTATTTTGTTGGATATTAGGATTGTTACACCAGCTTGCTTCTTTGGTCCATTTAATTGGCTAAGCATCAGTCTTAATCTGAGGCATTTGATTGGCTAATCATAAATCTTAATCTGAGGCATTTGATTGGCTAATCATTAGTCTTAATCTAGGGAATTTGATTGGTCGACCATCAGCCTCAGTCTGTGTTTCGCTGATGATATCTCAGGAGAATGAGTAAGTCACCTAGATTACATACCCTTACGTTTACAGTCAGAGACAATTGTTAGAAGTTCCCAGTCCTAAGCTCATCAAAGGGCAGGAGAGATAACTCAGCAGGGAAGATTGCTGCTCTTCTAGAGGACCCGGGTTCAGTCTCCAGCACCTACACCAGATGGTTCACAACCACCTGTAACTTCAATCTAGAAACTATAACCCGCTCTGTGGGTACACACATACACATCACAGCACTAACTCAAACACACACCATACACATACCATACAACACATACTCATAGACCACATACACAGCACAGATTCACATACACAGAACACATTCACATACATAGCACACACACACCTACACACACACAGAAAAACACACACACACACTAAAATCTTTAAAAACTCACTCTAGCCTGTTCTACATGCAGAGTGACCCAGTATGGCCATGCAATGAAGGAAGAAGGAAACTCATATCCTGATCAACACAGTGTGGGGGCTAGTGCTTCTGCAGCATAGTAAATTTGTCTTGGAATAAGAAGGCAAGAATTTTAGAAAAATCTGAAGACCAGTTTTGAAAAACAAATAGTACTTGACTGTCATAAGGAGGGATATGGTTAAATCCCACAGGTATGTCCGTGGGTTACTAACTATGCTAGAATCATACCAAGGAAAGCGTAAAAGTATCAAGCATTGGGAAAGAATCACAGATTTTAACATATCCAGTTGTAGTCTGTATAAAAGACAGTCATTTCAAATTAAGAGTATAAGCCCTTCCATTAGCTTAAGCACCTCCTGAGTGCAGAGATCAAGACTTTGTGTTACAATTCTTGTGCGAGTTCAGCCTGGAGAATAGGCGAGAATCTCAAGAAATAATTTGCATAAACTGACCAGAGAATGCTGTATCCATTTCCTTCCTTATCCCACACTTCCAGATAGCATCAAAAACAAAACCCACTCCCGACTCTGAATCTGTAGCAGCCTTTATAACACAGGACACCACAGCTCTGCTGGCTAGCTGTGAGCACAGAGGGGAGGGACAGCTGCGGAATTTGAGGGGACTCTAGTTATGCTTTGCAGGAAGTGAGAGCAACAGAGCAGAAGGGGAACATGTGGGCTGGCTGCCAGGTAACAACCTTTGACCCCGACACTTACCTCACCGTTGGGTTTGCACAGGATCGTTGTGCAGTCAGGACTGGATCGGAACCTGTTCTGTTCCTTCCAAACAAAGTCTGTTGGTGGCTCGGGCTTTGCTTCTGCTGCTGCTGCCCATACCTTTGAGAAAGCAGTTTGTTGCTGACAAGTGCCACTGGGGTTCCACTTAGATCCATAGATGTCACACCGTTATTAATCTTTCTGAACAGATAAGGTTTTCAGTGTCATTAAAGATGAGAAAGGTCTCCCTGCATTTGCCTGGGCTGGGCTCCAGGGCACACGGGATCCTTGTGTCATGGCCTCCTGCGGGTCCAGACTATCTGTGCTTATAAGTTATTTTAAAATATAATGGAACACAAACAGTGACTGAGCACAGTTTAAACAACTGTCCAGTCCATGGCCTGTGGGCTGCGAGTGACCCAGGATAGCTACAAAGGCAGCCCAACTGCACATTGTAAACTTACTGAGGTATCTTTAAGGGTTTGTTTTGTTTTGTAACTTGATTGTATTGTTGTCCAATGTGAACTTTGTAGAAGACAACGTCTTATCACAATGTCATGCAAAACAAAGATGATATACTCCTATACCCTACTGCCAAGGACTGGACACCCCAGGCTCAGAGAGACATGGGCCGAGTGAAGAACTGACTTAGCATCTGCTCTCTGGGCCAATAATCTCTTGGCTTGTGTTTTAAGAACGTGTTCTCTTAGTGTAGGAACTTAGGATGTAGCTAGTGGACAAGACAAACTAAGACTGTATACTAAACTGGAGAATGGTGTAGAGATTAAAGTGTGGGATCTATTGGTCCCACCATAAATCACAAACATCACAGTACAAAGTCCAAGTGTCCAAGAGGCCGCTGTGCCAAGTCACAGGCTGGAGAGGGGTTTTCTCTTTACACACCGGGCTCTGATATTCTCAGCTCACAATGTGCCCAGCTCACTCTTCTTCGCTCCTGGTATCCCCCAGCTCACCTTATTATTATCTCATGGTACCCTTGCTCATGGGGTTCAGCTCAAGGTGGTCCTGGCTCATAGCTTTCCCTAGCTCCTGATATTCCTTGCTGATATTCCCAGCACACTAATATAGTTTCAGCTCACAGCATCCTCAGCTCACCATAATCTTAGATCCTGGCATTCTCAGTTCACAATGTTCTCAGCTTCTGGTGGTCCCAGATCATGATATTTCAAACTGATCATATTTACCAGATCTCAGAACTCTCAGCTCCTGGAATTCTCACATCATCATATTCCCAGCCTACGGTGTTCCTAGCTCATTATATCCCCAGCTCATGATATTCCACCTCACTCTATTTTAGGAAATGTGATTCCCAGCTCTTGTTTTTCCCCAGATCACCGTATTCTCAAATCCTGGTCAAATCTTGAGATTTCCAGCACATGGTTCTCCTAACTCACTGTATTTCTAGCTCCCAGGGCTCCTAACTCACAGCTTTCCCAGGTCATGGTATTCCCAGCTCAGCTTGTTCTCAGCTCCTGGGATTCCTACATTCTTAATCCACTGTATCTTCTAGACACGGGACTTCCATTCCAAGGTATTCTGGGCCCAAGGAATTCTCACTAACTATATTCTCAGGTCATGGGGGTTCTAGCTTAAAGCATTTCCAGTTCCTGATACTCTCAGCTCATGGTGTTCTCAGCTCAGGGTTTTCCCAGGACATTGTATCTCTACATGGTATCCAATGTACACTGTTCTCACATCATTGTGTTTTTGGCTCCTGGTGTTCCCAGTTCACAGTGTTTCCAGCTCATGGTGTTCCCAGCTCATGGTGTCCCCACCTCATGGTGTCCCCACCTCATGGTGTCCCCACCTCATGGTGTCCCCAGCTCATGGTGTCCCCAGCTCACGGTATTCCCAGCTCACAGTGTTCATAGCTGATGGTGATTCTAGGTCATGTTACTCCAAATTTATGATGGCTCCAGCTCATACTTACTGTCACCGTGGAACTGGCCTGCATAGTGACGTTGTGGGGGAATCGGTACAGGGAAACTGCGTGCCCGTTCACATTCTGTTGGAGAATGTGGTTTCCAATCTCCACTTCTTTGTCTTCAGAAGAGTTAACAAGCCGCACGAACAATCCCTTGATGTTTACATCAGCTATTTTGATGTCTTCGAGAGAACTAAAATATAAGATATAGAAGGTAGGTTTGGGTAGAAAGGTCTTTGGTACATAGTAAGAACTCGGTAATACAGTGCCTGCCTATAATCTCAGCACTCAGAAGAGCAGCAGGAGAATCACAAGTTCAAGGTCAGTCTAGTCTAGGCAGCAAGCTCCAACCTAGCTAAGGCATCATGAGAGCCCCAAAATGAAATAAAGCCCAGATAATGAATGGAGAGGCTATAGATGGTACGTGCAGATTTTTTTAATGATTTACTTTTATTTTGTGTGTATGGGTGTTTTGCTTGCATGCATGTCTGTGCAGTACACGTGTGTAGTATTCAGCCACTGGGACATGTGGACTAGAGTCACAGACAATAGTGAGCTGCCATGTAGGTGGGGGAAACTGAACCTGGTGCCTCTGGAAGGGCAGCCAGTGCTCTTAACCACTGAGCCATCTCTCCAGCCCCCGAACTTGTGTATTTAGCAACCTAAGAAAACAGTCTTGACCTATTAGAGCAGTAATAATATCCATTTGACATAAAACAAAGGAAACCCAAGATGTGCTCAGGTGCCCAGTGTTACAGGAAAACGTGGTTACAGCTTGCTCTGTGTCTTGCTCTCAAGAGAAGCCACCATGACACCAAACACTCAAAAGGAAATCAAGGGGCTGGAGAGATGGCTCACTGGCTAAGAGCACTCTCTGGCCTTTCAGAGGGCCTGGGTTTGGTTTCCAGAACACACAAGATAACTCCCAACCTCTGGTAACTCCAGTTCGGGGATCTGATGCCCTCTCCTGGCCCCAAGGACATCACACGCATGTGGTATAGTCATACATGCAGGCACTCACACATATGCATAAAAAAGTAAGTCTTAAACTACGGACACCAAAAGTTAAAGCACAGAGCTGTTTCTTGATAAAGTGACCATGAGGATGAACAGCCACTGTGAGTTCAAAATAATTCTGGAATGCGACATTATACACACACAATGGCGTTTTTTGCCTCTAATTTTATCTAGACTGTAGTATGTTACAGAGCCTGTGTTACTATGGACACATCTGCATTTTTCAGAGTGTCGCCTGCAACACGCCTGAAGGTCATGACTGGCTGGTAGTGTGTTAGAAACAGCACCCACATTTCTCAGCTGATTATAATAATTCAAGTTGTTCACATATCAGTCATTTGACAAAAACATATTTGCATTGCTTTATCTCTCTATTTTCCCTCATTTTCTTATCTATATGCCAAATTTAAAAAGTTATTGCATACATGTGTATGAATTTGCTTGTTCATATGTGGGAGGCCCACGTGTTTGCACATGCTCATGAGTGTGCGTGTGGAGGCATGAGTTTGATGTGGGCTGTTTTCCTCGATCACTCTGCCCTTATCCCCTCGAGGCAGCAGCTCTTGCTGAATGCAGAGATGGCTCTTTTAGCTGGTCTGGCTAGCCTCGCCCGGAGGTCTCCTGTCTTCCCTTTCTGAGCACTGAGGTTGCAGGAAGCCACTAAGCCTAAGCAGCTTCTACACAACTTTTGGGGACAACTACTCACAAGTCCCTAATGGTACCTCTGAGCTCATCCTTCTGACCAGCTGTGAACTGAACTGAACCACTGCCTAAAACTGGCCTGATGTCCCTCTCTTTTCTTTTTTTTTAAAATATTTATTTATTTATTATGTATACAATATTCTGTCTGTGTATATGCCTGCAGGCCAGAAGAGGGCACCAGACCTCATTACAGATGGTTGTGAGCCACCATGTGGTTGCTGGGAATTGAACTCAGGACCTTTGGAAGAGCAGGCAATGCTCTTAACCTCTGAGCCATCTCTCCAGCCCCCCTCTCTTCTCTTCATGATGTCTCATGCCCGCATTCTCCTGCTTCCCCCGTTTGTTTGTCTGGGTGGCCACCATCCTTAGCAGGCCCTCATCTCTGTGTGACACGGTCACAGCACCCCAACAGGTTTCTCCAGTTCTTCCCCCTTCAAATGCTCTCCCTTTAGCTTCCAGAACAATCTTTGTGCAGTCCCAGTCTGACAGTGCCACATTCCTACCGGAAACTCTGTGACTTCCTTTCAGAGACCAAACCACTTCCTACCTCAGACTTGGCCTGCGGCCATAGAGAATTCCTTGAGAAAGCATAATCCCTGTGGCTGCACACGTCTCTCAGGGCCAACACAAGGCTGGTCCTGCCTCCTGCTGCCCACATCCTTGCCAGCCCTTCCATTAAGAACAATTAACTTTTTCAGTACCACGATTACAAAATGTGTCATGATTTCAATGCGCTCGCCCCTGACCTGGCCACTTGGTTTTCCTTTTTGGCAAACTACGTTTAATACCATTTTATTCACCTTTCTATCAGTTATTTTGCATTTTCATAACTGATTGATAGTATAATGTTTAATCTATGCACACACATCCCCAAGGCAGAGGCCACAGCTCTCTCTCAAATCAGTTCAGGGACTGTATGAGCTAATCTTCGCGGCTGTGCTATGAAGTCACACATGCTGTCCCTGCTGGTTGCAGCAAGGGCCTGGACACTGAGAGGGTCTATCTGCTCTATTGACGGGGCTTCCAGCCTGTGCCTGGGATGAACAACCAGCTCACACTGCTTTGCAGTATTTACTTTTTTCCTTTTGTGATAATTCTTCCCTTATTTTCTTTCTTCAGTGTTGTGCTAGCTGCGTTTAAACTGTTGTGGTAGCCTAATGTACCCACCTTTCACCCCGAGGCCTGTGACTATGCTCTTGAAAAACAGGAGAGGTTCTGCAGCCGCAAAAGTGTAGGTTGTAAGAAAGAGACTACCCTAGCTTTTTAACAGGCCCCCAATCCAATGAGTCCTTAAAGTTCAGGGAGTAACTCCAAGTGAGCAGCAGGGACGACCTGAGCACACTGCTGCTGGTGGCTGCAGGGCCTGTGTGTGAACACTGAGGACTCCATGATGATGCTCGGCCAGGAAGTGGGACCCCAGTCCCCAAACCGGAGGAACTGCATTTGGCTAAGTCTGAAAGAACTTGATCCCAGGTTCTCAGCCAGGACCTTAGATTAAAACTAAGAACTTGATCCCAGGTTCTCCCCCGAGCTCAGCTGTCTGATACCTGGCTGTGACTTTGTAAAACTCTAACAATAAAAGTCAGGCAAACCAACCCAGTCTTATACCTACAGAATTCTAGTGAGGGCCAGCAAGATGGCTCAGCAGGTAAAGGCCCTTGCTGTCAAGCCTGCTGACCTGAGTTCTATGCTTGGAATCACACGGTGGCAGGAGACACAGGAACCCCCGGTCGTTCTTTAGTTTCTACATGCGTGTGCTCGCTCCCTCTGCCCACCCTCTCTCTCACACACAGATAACAAACTATGTTCAAAGAGAGGTGCTCTTCCGCTTATTTTAAGTCAGGAAGCTGGTGGCAACAGAATAAAACTAACACACACACACTTGTATGATTTAGGAGCACCAAGTCAGAACCGCTGCCTATCTGGCCTGCAGGTTTCATCCCAATGCTCTTCTTGAAGACTTATTTCAGTGTCCCTTGTCACTGTCTCCTCCTCCTCCTCTTCTTCCTCACAGTAAATCAGCTGTGCGGCAATGTTTTCGCTGTGTCTTTGAAGATATTTAAGCATGCTCTTTCAGAAGTCTTTACAATGGACCTGTGTTGGCTGGCTTCTTTCTATATGTGCTGTGAGTTGGCAACAGTCGTTGAATCTTTGGCTTGTTGTCTTTAGTGCTTTGGGAGAAATTGTCTGTTCCTGGGTGTTGCAGGAGGTCCTCCCACTCCTCCAGCCTATCACCGCTGAGATACTAGCCCATTGGGGCGTGGTCTCTTTCCCTTTAAAAAAGTGGCCACTTCCCTCTCCTCTCTCTCTTCACTTCCTGCTCCGCTGGCGACTAGACTCCTTTCCTGGTTGCGTAGAGGGCTGTTGCCTGGGACAGTGATCTGTAAGTTTTTTCCCCTTTAAATAAATACCACCCAAATAATCATAACCCCAAATTGGTGTGGCATTGTTTGTGACTTATGCCTTCACCTGGGAAAATAGTTCATCCACATATTTGTTCTGTTTCCTCCTTACTCTTCCGTAACCACAGCCATAATGAGATTTTTACATTTTATTTATTTGACTACATTTATTCATGTGTGTGTAAGCATGCGTGTGTGTGTGTGTGTGTGTGTGTGCATACATACAGGTGCTGCTGGTGTGTGTGTACATACATGCAGGTGCTGCTGGTGTGTCTGTGTGTGTACATACATGCAGGTGCTGCTGGTGTGTGTCTGTGTATGTGTACATACATGCAGGTGCTGCTGGTGTGTGTGTACATACATGCAGGTGTTGCTGGTGTGTGTATGTGTGTGTGTACATACATGAAGGTGCTGCTGGTGTGTGTGTGTACATACATGCAGGTCCTGCTATAAGTATGTAAAGTCAGAGAACAGTTTATGGAGTTGGTTCTCCCTCCATCATAGGCACCCCTGAAATCAAACTCTCAAACCCACTTTTATTTTTTATAGAACACATTTTTTTTCTTTTCAGATTTCCTTTGTCTTACCTCATAATGGTCTCTATGTGACCTTTGTTCTAAAGCATGATATAGGATGGTCATCTGTCTATGTGTTACTTTCATTGGTTAATAAACAGATTGCCTTGGCCTTTTAATAGGGCAGAAAATTAGGTGGGTGGAGTAGACAGAACAAAATGCTGGGAGGAAGAAGGCAGTGAGGCAGACACCATGCCTCTCCTCTCCGAGATGGACGTAGGCTAAAATCTTCCTGGTAAGTCACGACATCGTGGTGCTACACACATTAATAGAAATGGGTTAAGCAAGATGTGAGAGTTAGCCAAGAAGAGGCTAGATATAATGTGCCAGGCAGTGTTTAAATGAATACAGTTTGTGTGTTGTTATTTCTGGGGCTAAGCAAACCGTGTGGGAGCCAAGGGGGACAAAAAGCAGGCCTGCTCGCATCATCACTACAAATGGCGCCCAATGTGATGGACTAAATCCACTTAAAAACCTGAGAGGACTTAAAAAGGAGA